AGAGGCCTTCCAGATGGTGCTGGGGTGCTCTGCAGGGGGAGGCAAATGGGATTGGCAGTTGCCAAGGCCTGAACAAACAAAGACTGGTTTCCTCAGGGAACTAAAGGTGGCGTGGCATGGGGAGGCTGAGGACAGAGGAAGCACGGCCTCCAAGCCCAGACACTCAGGCCATGAGATGACGGGCCCTGGGCCGAGGACACTGGGCAGAGGAGTAAGATGAACACTAGGAGGTTTCTGTGGTACTGCCTGGACCAGACACCAACTAACCTGGCACATCCATGGCTCAGGGACAGGGCAGCTCCCTGATCTGGTGTTGTGCTTGAGCGTCTCAGTATGCAGCAGGGTAGAGGATATCTAGAGAAAGAATACAATGATGATGGCAGTGAGGCAGTGTGCCCATGGTGGACCTAGCAGGACCTTGCCATTCCCTCTGCAGTACACAGGGATGGTGAGCAGCCATTTTGTTCTTGGCCAGTCTCCGTGATCCCCTCACTGTCTGAAAGATGTTCCTGACCTGTCTCCCCTGATTCTTTTGTTTTGTTTTGTTTTGTTTTGTTTTGTTTTTTGAGACAGGGTTTCCCTGTGTAGCTTTGGAGCCTATCCTGGCACTCTCTCTGGAGACCAGGCTGGCCTCGAACTCACAGAGATCCGCCTGCCTCTGCCTCCCGAGTGCTGGGATTAAAGGCGTGCGCCACCAATGCCCAGCTCTCCCCTGATTCTTATTGCACACACTGTGCATTCATCCAACTGTGCAGTCCTCACTGTACCCAGTATGCCCTGGGCTTAGGAACAGGATAGTGAACACCACCACCAGCAGGCAGCACATTTCACCTTACACATGGAATGTGTAAGGCAACTGGGTGACTGATGTCAGAGTTGCTGAGGAACCGTGGCCGATGAAAGGGAAGAACATGGTTTCCTGAGAACAGAGGATACCAAAGAGGGTTTGATGGAAGAAGTGGCCTCCACTCTGAGAGCTTCAGGAAGAGAGGTTTCACACGGGCAGAGAAGAGCAGTCAGGGCCCTGCACTTCCTCTGGCCTCTCATTCCTGGGGCCTCCAGCTTGCTTCACTGAGCTTCCGTTTGCTGTCTGCATAGGGGAGCTTAGACTGGAGGCTTACCTTGACTCTAATGTCCGCTGAGCCACCAAACCCGCCATCTTCCCAGCTATCTTGGGAATCTCTGCTCTTTTGACCCCAAAGCCCCTGTGGTCACCTTGCAACCTCTGCGTCATCCCCGCTCCCACCCCCAACCTCCCAACGGCCCAGATAATCTGCTTGGGTTGTAAAAACCACTGCCCAGTTCCTGAAATCCCACCAGATCAGTCAGACTCCTTTGAGGCTGATGACTGCCCCCTCTGCTCAGGAAATGTCAGCTATGGGACACGCTGACCTGGGGTCAAGGCTTTCAGACCGAGTTCCATTTCCACAGAAAGACTGGCTTTGTGATGACATCAAGACTGGGCAGCTGCCATCATCATTACACTGTCAGGTCCTAATCTTATCAGGCTTATAAGTGTCCAGTCATCTGACAAATGTTTGCCAAGTTCCTGCTGCTCCCCAGAGAGACACACTGATCACAGGCCAAGCAGAAGGTGCAAACCCTGGGGTGGCTGTGCCCTGGTGGTACTTACATGCCACTGAAGCAAGCCCCATGAGGAAATAACCAGGCAGGTGCTAATAACAGCAGCAGGCTTGAGGACAGACGCTAGAGGATGGCTCAGTTAGCAAAGTGCTTGCTGACCTGAGTTCGGGTACCCATCATTCCCACAAAAGCTGAGGATGGTAGTGCGTGTCTGCATGTGATCTCAGCTGGGAAGTAGAGACGTGTGGATACCTGGAGTTCACTGGCCAGTGGTCTCCTGGATTCCAGTACAGGAATAGTGGGTGTCTCTAAAATGAGCAGGCCTTTCTTAGGAGCTAGGGTCCCAGAAACTCTAAAGCTATCAAAACTAGCCTAAGCAAGTGGCTTTGGGATTCTTGTCTCAAGATTTGAAAAAAAAAAAATTCTTGGGCCATAGAGGAGGAATTTTAGAGTGCTCTTTATTATAGATTCATAGGTGGGAGCCTAAGAGAGAGGATACAGAGCTCCTGGATAGCAGGAGAGGTCTTAGGAAATAGAGTGACATTGTGTTGCTATTCTAGGGGCTTTTTAAAGGACACACCAGTACTGTGACCAAATTCTGGATCCCCAAATCACCAAGAGACCCATTCCGACACAAAAGCAAAGAGTCTTTTATTAACGAGTTAACTGCATGAACTCGGGCCCTTTGTCTGTCCAACATGGTGGTGTGAGAAGGACCCCAAGGGGCTGAAAGGCAGGGGTTGGGGGTTGAGGGGTGTGGGGTATGGGGTGTGGGGATATATTGGGTAGAGCAAGGGGTCTAGGGATCTGCATCAGTCTCAGGAGTGGTGTACTTCCAGGCTTGGGTGGCCTGTCTTGTATTGATTGGTTAACTGGTTGTTATGGCCTATAGGTCCTCCCAGGGCAGTTGATATGTTTTGCATGTCACTGTTAAGCCACTTTTACTGTAAAGCTCCATAAAGCCTCATAAAGCATGCCCAAAGCTCGCCAGCTAACTTCTGATTGGCTCCTTGCCACATGGGTATCTGACCTCCCAGTGACTGGGAGGAGGGGCAAGGTCAGGCAAGCACATGTTGCTGAGTCAGGGGCCTTTGTCTTGCTGGGTCTTTTCTGCAGCCTGTCATGGCTGCTAAAGCAAGGGGTTGGGTGAAAGTCCAGTCCCTTCAATCAGAAACTGGGATGAGTTGTCAGCCCACTGGCCCATTAAGTGTCCATTGCCTGTTCTGTTTCAGTCACATTGTGGAGTCATTTTACAACCTCCAGGCAGGAGTGTTCATTTAGGAGCTGCCGAAGAACAGGAACCAGGCAGGGCGGTGATGGCGTACGCCTTTAATCTCAGCACTTGGAGGCAGAGGCAGGCAGATCTCTGTGAGTTCAAGGCCAGCCTGATCTTCAAAGAGAGTTCCAGGACAGTCTCCAAAAACTACAGAGAAATCCTATCTTGAAAAAACAAACAAAAAGAACAAGAACCAGATCCCATGTGGCATTCTCACTTTCAGCAAGGAAATCCTGGCTTCTTCGGGGTCCTCACCCTACCTGACCGTTTCCAATCATCTGTTCATCAGTTCCGTGAGCTTCAGATTCAGGGAGAGGCCCTGTTTCAAAAATGAGGCAGGCGATGTCAACCTCTGGCCTCCACCTGAGAACTCAAACACTCTCATTTAGCAGCACCCGCAACACACAGGCACTAGACGAGAGAGAAGTTACAGGAGGCCTTCCTCAAGAGGTGCCACAGCTGGAGAGATGGCTCAGCAGGTAACTCTTGCAGAGGACCCAGGTTTGCCTCCCAGCACCCACATGGTGGAACACAGCCATCTGTAAATCCAGTTCTAGGTGATGCCATGCCCCCTTCTGGCCTCCACGGGCACCAGGCACACTTGTGGGGCACATATGAACATTATAGTCAAAGACTCAAACACATAATATATATACCTTAAAATTTTTGAAGAGGTGACATCTTTTGAAGCAAAAAAACAAAACCAAAGGAAACAAGAAAGCTTTGTTATCTGGGGGAACAGGCACCAAGCTTGGTGTGTGTGGATGTAAGTATAAAAGCCCAAGGCAGGCATCCACTGTGAGTGAGTGAGTGAGTGAGTGTGTGTCTGTCTTATCTGTCTTGAGTTAGACATCCTCAGAGTTGCATATCACAGTGCATTCTTTGAGACAAAGGCTTCCTATGTAGCTCAGGCTAGCCTCGAAGTTGTACTCTTCCTATCTCAAACTCTTAAAGTCCTGGGATTACGTGTGTGTGTGTGTGTGTGTGTGTGTGTGTGTGTGTATAAGAGACAGAGAACCAGAGAGAAAACTCTAGCCCCCTTTGCCTCCCTTACCATCTCATTCCTGGCATCATCAAGATAAAGAGGGGGAAAATCAGAGATGATTAGATGATTCTAATGTGCAAGTAAAATAATGCCTCGGTGAACGCTTTATGCAAATCTATGCAATTAACATCACAAATGAGGTGAAGCCTGGGGCCAAGCAGCTAAACTCCTCTTGGCCTCAGCTCCACTCTTGCTGGTCTCCCAGTGCTGGAAACTGCTCAGGGACAGAAGGGACAAAGTAGACTGGGCAAGGGTGTGCTTCAGACAGAGCTGTACATTTTATTCTATGGAGAAGAGTTGGACATGGTTGCGTTTCCTGGACAAGGGTGGAAGTATTTGGTGTGTCTGGCCACTTTGTGCACAGCTCTGGGTGGGACTCCCTCCCATTAAGTAGCCGCATTGTGTTACCTAGGGTGGTACGATGAGCTAGAAGAGGTGCTCTGTCAGTCCTAAGACAGGTGTGTGGTGACTGGTCTTAAGGGCTCTGTGAGTGCTAGCTCTGTTCTGCTATACTCTTATTCTGTCTTTTACTTGTTCTGTCTCCATGTTGTCAGCTGGGGCCACTTGAAGGGTGACTCAGTCATTGGACTCAGAGGCCTCATCACCGAAAGGTCTGAGAATGGAGGCTGGCTGTCATCTGGGAGCTTGGCACTGGACCACAGGTGGGGACACTTGCCTATGGCCCTCAGGGTGGCCTCTCTGTGTGGGGATTTCATCAAACTTCCTTATAGCTTGGTGGCCAGGCTCCAAGACAGCCAAACAAAATGCATTTTTTATGGCCTAGCTTTGAAGTCACACGGTTGCCATACTCTTCTTAAAGCAGTGGCAAAGGAAAGGGACACAGACTTCCACCTAGACAGCCAAGGAGCCAATGTCAAAAGGCTGTGTGGAATGAGAGGTGCTCACTGTCATGGGCAGCTTTGGACAATGTCGTCCACTGTACCTAGAGTGTGAGGACCCTGAAGTGGGGTCTGCGTCACAGTCTCGCTTCTGAGACCCCGGGTCACATTAGTTCTGTCAGTGACTGCCCCAGCTCCGCAGGCCTGTGAGGCCCTTTCCTGGGCGGAGTCTGTCCAGCACAATCCTGAACTTTCTTGCACAGAGAACTCGGAGCTGTGTGAAGCAGCCCCGCCTTGGCCACTGGCCTTTCCTTACAAACAAAGGAGTAAAAGCCCCCACCTACACATCTTCCCATGCCCCAGCAGTGGGCGTAGCCTTGGTCAAGGAGATGCAGAAACAGTGAGACAGCTGGGAAAACCTCCCTGGCCAGAGGGTGTGACTGCGATGAGGGCTAGCGGAAGGAGCAGGGACCCTTGGAGGACAACAAGGGAAACAAGGCTTCCTGGAGATGCGGGGGCACACGGGTCATTGGTGATTACTGAGATTCCAGCTGTTGGACCTCTAGGGAGGAACCCCTGCCTAGGCCCGAAGTAAGTTGCCTGGGGCTTCCTGTTCCCGCTGTTGCTGCGGAGCTCTGGCTGCAGAGGGCCTGCCCGGGCCTTCTGATCTGAATGACCTTGGGCTCAGGGGGCTTGCCTGGGGGTGGGGAGTGGGGATTAGTGGGTGGGTGGGGAGGGTGGTGTTGCTGGTCTAGGGGGGCTCGGGCTGATCTGGGGGCGTGGTGCAGGTCTGACCTGGTGGGCGGGGCTGGCGGGGGATGGGGTGCTGGCTTGGTGGGTCTTGCCTTAGTTCTCACAGTAAGCAAGTGTTTGAGCAGGACACAAACTCACTGTACTAGTTCAGCGGAGGACAGGGTTCCACATCCTTTGGGAATGGCTCTTGTCATGCTTCCTGCCTCTCCGAGCATCCTCCGAGTTGCCTCATCCAAGCCCAAGGCCATGATTTATAGTCTCTGTTTTCAGTGGAAGGAGGATGATTTACAGAGAGCACAAAAGGTTAAGCTGGATGGGAACCCCAAAGTTTGGCCGTCACACTCAGGTGCATGTTTGTGGGAGGCCCTTCCTCAGGGTACTGGAGTGCTGGGACGTTCCCAACCTTTGCTCAGCATGCTGGAGTTTCCAGGCCACAGAAAACTAGTGCTCCCAAGAGACCTGCCTGTTTGCAGCAGCTTCTGCGAGGCTTCTGGGACATTTGAAGCAATGAGTTGCGCCGGCACAACCCGAGCCATCCTGGCCTGAGTAACTGCCCCTTTAAGAGATGGGTAAACCGAGGCTGGCAGGAAATCAGTTCTCCCTTGAGGGTGGGGGGAGGCTGCAGCTGGGATGTGTTGACTTCTTGCCCACAGCTCCTCCATAGTGGCTAGATGCGGGGGAACCACAGAAAGCCAGGCCAGCCAGCAGCTGCTCCTTGCAGATCAGCTGGGCTGAAGTCTTCATGACTCATCTCACACCCCAGTGGCCCTGTCCTCACCTCGCTATCTAGCCTTGTTCCTCAGGTATGAGAGTGGCACCAGGCCTGTCCCCCTACTTCTCCCAAGAACCCAGGGAGATACTGTTTGCAGTACACACACCAGATGGGATGGGCATCCATGCAATTTGCTGGCCAAATTAGAACAGTTTAGGGAGTCACTGATAATTACACAGGGATTGGGCATGGCAAATAGTGTCTGCCCCCCTGCCAGATAGTCATTGCTTAACTCACACATCAGAACTCAGGCCGCAGCCACAGAACAGAGCAGAAGAGCACCGGGCGGAAGTGGGTTTGAGAACTCTGCACAGTGAGGGGAAGTCAAGTCTGTAAGAGATTGTGGAAGACTGTGTGAGATGAGCCTGGGTTCACATCCTGCTTCTGCCGCTACGGGCTGTGTGAGCGCAAGCATGTTACTTAATCTCTCTGACCCTTGCTTTCCCCATTCATAAAGTTACCACAGGACAGTAGTAGTAGTCACTATGAGATGGGATAATATAAATAAATCGGCCACAGCAGCATAGACTTAGTAAATAAGAGGCCATTGCTATTTCATGAGAGTTTAAGATTATTGACTTTGGTGTGTGCTAAGAAAACAGAACATTAAAATCTCGACTGTAGCCCTGCCCTTGACTTAGGCACAGAACCATGGAAATGAAGGCCAGGTGAAGGAAGTTGAAGAACTGGACATGAAGGACAGAGGCTTACACACCATGGGGTCCCGAGTGGACTTTCCCATGAGGCAAGGTCATCAGGGTGGGATTCCAGAAGGAGGTGACCTCTGGGCAGGGACATAGTCAGGCCTCTTAGGAATATTAAGCCTCATGCCAGGAGAGCCGTCTGTCATAATCCGCAGAAGGAAAGCCCACTGCATTCTGCTTCTTGTTGAGACAGAGTCTTGCTCTGCAACTCATGATCCTCCCGCACAGCCTCCAGAGTGCTTGGATTACAGGTGAGCACCACCATACTCTGCTGAAGTTCTGCTTTTTATCTTTGTGTAAAAACCTCAGTGCTGGGGCTATAGAGATGGCTCAGCCTTTAAGAGTACTTGGTGCTTTTGCAGAGGACAGGGTTAGGTCCCCACAACCCACACAAAGGTTTACAACTGCCTGGAACTCAGTTCCAGGGATCATGACACCCTCTTCTGGTCTCTGGGGGCACTGCACACACAAGGTGCACTTAATCCCAGTGGTCCCGGCCTCAGCCTACCTGGCTTCATTCCTCATAACAAAATAAAAAGCAATAAACCTTAAAAGAAGAATCACAGTGCTCTTTTAGAGATGTCAAATGCTGCCCCTCCCCACCCTGTTAGTTTTTCCTGGGGTCCTTGGGATCATATTTCACCAGAGGTGAGACAGAAGGAAGGAGTTCAGGGCAGGGTGGGGAATAGGTGAGGCTGGCCCTGGTTGGTGTGTGTTTGGGGGGTGGGGGGTGAGTGTTAGAGAGATTAAGTAACATGCTTGCGCTCACACAGCCCACACGTGGCAGAAGCAGGATGTGAACCCAGGCTCATCTCAACCTCTGAGCTTGTCAGTTTTAGCCCCTCCTCAGTTCACCAGAAGAAAGCTGTTCTTCTGGTTTCAATGAACACATGACCCTCTCTGTCCACATTCTTGGTTCAGAAGGCATCCCCCCATTAATATCCTAAGCTGAGATTCTTTCTGGCTGCTTTAGACTCCCCACCCTGAACACATCAGCCTACGATGAAGACGAAGAGGCATAGGCTAAGCAGAGGACTAACTACAAATAGGGTTCAGTAAGAAAGAAGTCTATGATCAATTAATGATGTCTGCCACAGGTGCTGGCTGGGTCTAGGTAACACGTGTTTCAAAGTTGAGAACACAGATGTAGATAGGGCCATGCTAAATGTACCCAGTGGTAGATATCATTGTGGCCTGAGACAGTGGTGGCTCCTAGAGGCCACAGCCTGGGTAGAATGCTGGGTAGCTCAGCCTTCAGTGGCTGCTTGAAGGGCAGCTCCCCTAGCCACATCCCTGTCCCTGGTGTCACAGACCCAGCCTGGAGAAGTTACAAGTGAGTCTGCAGCTAAGCCCAAGCTCAAACCCTATTTTCTTTTCCAGCCCAGGCTCTATGTTGTGGCAGAGGAGGGAGTAGGGGCAGAGGAGCGGGGAGAATGAAATCAAGAAATAACAGGCTTCATAGGAGCAGTAATGACATTTTAACTTGAAAATTGCAAGAAGACTGGGCTGTGGAGGCATATGCAAATTTCACGCAAACGAGATGCAAATGAACCTGTCTCTGTCTGCCTCTTGCACCTGGATGTGGCTCAATGACAAACCCTAATGGGCACAGCGTGGCTGTGTGATTGATTATCAAGGCCAGCTGGGATGACAACTGTGCTCTTTTTTTTTTTTTTTTTTTTTTTTTTTTGGAAGCCAGGGGAGAGATGTAACTGTTCCTAGGTGGCCCTGAGCACTCTCTGAAAGGGGACCTCAAGGCATGGCCTTATCAAGTCTAAGGTTAGTGAATTTAGGGCACATCTACTACCTATATTCCTGCCAGCACCCATGGCAGACATCATTAATCAATCATAGAGTTCTTACTGCGCTCTGGGCAGCCCTTACTAATAGAAAAGAGTTGCTGTTAATTCATCCATTCATTCATGCACCTGACTGCCATGCATTCCAAAGGTCACAGAATAGGCAGGCTCAGTTCTTGTTCTCACAACAGTTTAGGACAGGACTTGAACGTTAATACAATATTGCAAAAATGGCAATTTGGATACATGATATGAGGGAAAAGTGGAAGTTCATGTAAGAGGTGTGTGTGTGTGTGTGTGTGTGTGTGTGTGTGTGTGTGTGTAAACATGTGCATGTTATATTAGGGATCGAATTCAGGGCCTCCCTCTACCACTGAGCTACATTACTTGCCCCTAAAAGGGGCTTTACACCTTCAAGGTGGCCAGGAAAGGCTGACCCCGTCAATCAAAAGGCTGAGGAAGTCTTAATAGCTAAAAGGAGGCAGGAAGAATTCTCTAAATCCTGGGAAAAGAAAGCCTGTGCTGGATACTGTCAGCATTTATCTAGATTCCCATGGTCCCTTTTTTGTTTTTGGATTTTGTGGTTGTTATTTTTTGTTCATTTATTTTCTGTGCTTCACTGTTGTTTTAGTTTCTCTCTGTGTTTTGTGTGTATGTTTTAAATAGCTTTATAGATATAAGGCTCACATACCACAAAATCCACCCACTTAAAGCATATGACAATGGCTTTTTATTATTTCCACAGGTATGTCCTGCCATCACCACAGTTAATTTTACAACACTTTCATCTCAAGAAGAAGAAGAAGAAGAAGAAGAAGAAGAAGAAGAAGAAGAAGAAGAAGAAGAAGAAGAAGAAGAAGATATTGATTGCTAAGCAGTTAAGAGCATTTGCTCTTTCGAAGGATCAGGTTTGATTCCCAGTACCTATATAGGGGTTCACAATGGTCCCTAACTGCAGTTCCAGGGATCTGATGCTTTTTTCTGACCTTCACAGGCATGCAAGTGGTGCATATACATACATGCAGGCAAAATATTCATCCAAAAAATTTAACTAGTGACCCACTGGTTGGCAGTGGAGGGAGGGCGTGGGGGGGAAGCAAACGGCGGCCGGGGGAGCTATTCTGTAGGCATCACCGCTAAACCTGATGCTTTCTTTTGCAGTCTTAGGCGCTACCAGCTCTTCATTGTGTTCTGTATAAATGCAGTCACGATAGCAGCAGCTTGCCAGGACTGATTTCTTTCACATATCATGAAGTCTGTAAGGCCATCCGTGTTGCCACATGAATCACTATTTCTCTCCAAAAACTTCACTGTGGGAAAATATGCACAGAATAGCATGGCGTTTTAACTGCTTTCAGGTGCACACTTCACTGGTCATCTCTGAAATGTGAGTGGGCACCAGCGCTAGCTCTTTCCAAACATTTTTCATACGTTGGAACAAAAATTCCCCACCCACTAGCAATTCCCATTTCCCCCGGCCTCCCAGCCCCACCTAAGTCTTCACCCGATAACGTCTCTGTGAACATCTGGTCATTTCACACGATGGAACCTCAAACAGTATTCCTTCTGTGTCCGGTTCATTTCGCCTACCATAAGTTTTGCCTGGGTTGCAGCCTGCATCAGAACTTCGCTGCTGTTTAAGTGGGGTGCAGCTCAGTAGGTAGAATGCTTGTCTAGCATGCACTTAAGAAGTTCCGGATGTGGTAACACATGCCTGTAATTCCAGGGAGGCAAGGGGATCAGAAATGCAAAGTCATCCTTGGCTACATAGTTAAGTTCAAGGCTAGCCTGGGGTACTTGAGAGTCAGTATCAAAATGAACAAGGATATAATCCCTTTCATTATATATTGTTTGTTTGTGTGGGTGTGTGTATGTGTAAGATTTATCCATTCATATTTATATTTTCTGGACACTTGTGTTGTTTCTGCCTCTAGCTATTGTGAATAATGTTGCAGAGTTTTCATAGAACATTTTCTTGTTCCTGTTTGTTTTCACTTCCTGGGGTTTGTATCCAGGGGTGGTAGTCTTGGATTAATGTAAGCCAAAGCAGCTGCACCATTATGCGTACAAGGGCTCTGCTTCAGGACCTCCCCATCCGTGGTGTCTTCTGCGTTGTTACTGTAGGGGTGAGAGGCAGCTTGTGGTACTTTGCATCTGGATTTCTCATGGTCAACGACACATCTTTCCATGTGCTTCTCCGATATTTGTGTGTCCTCTTTAAAGATGCCTGTTCAGGTTCTTTACCAATGCGTTACCTGGGTGGTTTGTCTTCTGTTGAGTCATGCAAGTCCTTTATGTACCCTGGCTAAAACAAAACAAAACAAAATCTTCAAAGACTTTTGTGTCTGTCTGTCTGTCTGTCTGTCTGTCTGTCTGTCTGTCTCTCTCTCTCTCTCTCTCTCCCTCTCTCGCTCTCTCTCTCTCTGTGTGTGTGTGTGTGTGTGTGTGTGTGTGTGTTGACATGTATGAGAAGAAGTCAGACTATAGCTTGTAGAGTTGGTTCTCTCCTTCTACATTTACACGAGTTCCAGGAATTGACCTTAGGCAACCAGGCTTGCATATTAGGTGCTTTATCCCTGAGTGGGCCGCAGTTCGATGACTTGTCACATATGTTATCTGCAAATATTGTTTCCTATTTTACAGGCTGTCTTTTCATTTTCCTTTTTGATTTTTTAGATTTGTCTAGTGTGTGTGTGTGTGTTTTGTGGGCATATAAGTGTGTGTATGTGGTGCCCATGGAGATTAGAATCAGGCATCAAATGGAGATTCTGACAGTTGTGAGCCACCATGTGGGCACTGGGAACTGAACCTGGGTCCTCTGCAGGAGCAGCAGTCACTCTTAACCACCCAGCCATCTCTCCATCCCCATTTCACTTTCTTAATAAGGTCCTTTGATGCACAAAAGTTTTAAATTGGGGACAAAGTGTCTCACTTCACAGCCTAGGCTGACCATGAACATTCAAGCCTCCTGCCTTCACTTTCTGAAAGCCAGGATTAGAGGTGTGTGTCCCCACACACAGCAGCCTACCAGGTTTTAATTCTGGTGAAATCTAATTTATACTTTGTTGTTGTTTTTCAGACAGGGTTTCTCTGTGGCTTTGGAGGTTGTCCTGGCAGTCGCTCTGGAGACCAGGTTGGTTTCAAATTCACAGAAATCCGCCTGCCTCTGCCTACTGAGTGGTGGGACTAAAGGCGTGCGACACCACTGCCACCGCCCGGCTAATTTATACATTTTTACTTTTTTTTTGTTTTGCTTGTGATTTAGGAGTCATGTCTGAGGCTTTCTTCTAAGGGTTTCTTAGGTTTATTTCTTTCTTTTAGGTCTGTGACCCAAACACTCCAGAATACAGAGTGAAGTAGGAGTCTGACTTCATTCTTTACATGTGGCAACCAGGTAGTCTCAGAGCCATTTGCTGAAGAGACACTTATTTCTAAATTTTCGTTTTACTTAGTATTGTTGTGTGTATATGATATATGTGCTTGGGTTGCATGTGGAGGTCAGAGGTCAATTTCATAGAGTTAGTTCTCTCCTGGGATAGAACTCAGGTCATCAGGCTTGTGCCGCAAGCACCTTTACCCACTAAGCCATCTTGCTGGCCCTGAAGAGGTGACTTTTCTTCACAGATAGACTTGACATCTTGGTCAAATCAATTGATCATAGACATGTGGTTTCCCTTCTGTCTCTCTACCCTGCGTCTCTTGTTCACACGTCTGTCCTTCTGGCAATACGGCATTGTTTCCAGTCTTTATGGTAAGTCTTTAAATTTATTGTAGGATTTATAGTAAGCCTTTAAACTGGCAACTTGGAGTTCTCAGGTTTTTTTTTTCAGGTTGTTTGGCTGCCTGGGGCTTTTTGAAGATGGATGTAAATTTGAAGATTGGCTTTATTATTTGTGCAGGAGAGCCTGCAGGAATTGTGTGAGGCTTACCCGGAATCTGCCAAGGTCTATGCTCTTAGCAGTGTAGTCTTCCTGCTACCAGAGATTTCAGGCTCAGACTTGAGCCCCGGAAGCTCTTGCACCCATCCTCAAGGGGCCCATTGAAGAGACTGAAGAACGGAGATGGGAGATTTATTCTATGTGGCCACATTGGGAAGAAGAAAAAACAAAGGTCCAATGCCACCCAAGTCTATTTTAGGGGCTCGACATGAGGCTTAGGTTTCAGTGGAGCTCGAGAGGTATGCATAACTAAGTGGTCCTGGTCCGGGCATGGCTCTGCCTGTCAGTGACCCATCATTGTCTCTGTCCCAGTCTGTCCTACAGGATGGTCTGAGGGAGTTATCTGAAGTGTGCAGAATCTCTTCCTGGGAGACAAGCTCCTCATTTCTGACTGCACCAGGTCTCAGCCCCATGCTGTGGGGAAACTAATTCTTGGGGCCTATAACTTATGTCAATATCTGACACCTGTGCTATCGTCCCCTTTAGGATACTGTCTCTCCTGTCAGGACCAATACAACCCCCTTCTCTTTGTTTCTAGACGTCAGTCTTGAGGGACTTGAAGTGATATGCTGGACTTGATGTGAACATTTCTGTGTCTGGAATGATCGTCATAAACAGAATATGAGTAGCCACCCAGGCCAGAAGGCGTCGTTCAGTTAGCGTCAGCTCACCACGGGCAAGAACTGTTTCCTTCCTCTCTGCTCTGGAACTAGGGAGGGCATGCACAGGTGGTTTCCTTTTGCTGCTGGGTTGAGACAATGTCCTGCTATGGAGCCCAGGCTATCTATGTAGCCAAGGCTGGCCTCCAGCTCATGAGTCTCCCGCTGCCAAGTTAGTGGACAGTGGTGAATGTCAGAGTTGGTGCAAACAAACCCTTTATGACAAGTTTTAGGCATGTCGTGGGTGTAGAAGGAGTGACTCTTAGCTCAGGCCTCCGGAGTCTGTTCTCGAATTTATTTTAATTTTCTGATAACTGAGTACACTGTATTTGCATCATTTCCATCCCTTCTTCTTCCCCACCAGCTTCTCCCATGTCCTTCCCAACCCCTTTTCCTCCATCCATGTTGTCACATCAACTGATGCGGTCTTCTGCAGGCAGCCATATTGCCCGGAGTCCACAGGTGCACCTGCCCTGTCAGACCCAGCAGACACATTCTTGCAGTGGTTATCTCCAGCCTCCGGCTTTAACATTTCTGCTCTCTCTTTTGCAGTTCCTCAAGCCTTAGGTGTAGAGGTAATGTTGTAGATGTTCCATTTGGCCCTAGATACCCCAGTCACTAGTCCTGTGCATTGTGAGCAATTGTGGATCTCTGTTACAGCATCCATCTGCTGCGGAAAGCAGTTTCTTTGATGAGGGGTGGGAGCTGCATTTCCCTGTGGGCATAAGGGAACTATTTAGAAGGCAATTGGGAACTATATTATGATGGGTTTGTCCTTCTGGATGCTGTTAATATATGTTTTTCTTATTGGTTGATGGATAAAACACTGATTGGCCAGTAGCCAGGCAGAAAATATAGGTGGGGCTTATCAGACAAGGAAAATTCTGGGGAGGGGAGGCAGAGAGGAAACTGCCTGAGCGATGCTGTGTAGCTACTGGGAAGGGAGGATGCCCAGACATTATCTGGTAAGATAAGGCCATGTAGGAATACATAGACTAATAGTTATAGGCTAATAATTAAGAGAGAGCTAGCCAGTAAGAAGCCTGAGCCATTGGTCAAACAGTTTATAATATAAGCCTCTGTGTGTTTATTTGGGGCTAAATGACTGTGGGACCATTCGGAACAGGAAATTATGTCTACAATATTATTTTAGTAAAATGCTACTTATAGATCCTAGGGTCTATGACCTCTCCAGCTGCAGGTTCTTGGCTTGGCACAAGTTCCCTCCTATAGAGCAGGCCTTAAGTTCAATCAGACAGCTGTTGGCTGTTCCCAAGATATACATGCTACTATTGCACCATTGAGGCTATCTTGGTGGGCCAGTTGTTGTGGTGGTTCACAGGCTTTACAACTAGGTAGAACTGTTGATGAGCATTTTCTCTTGGCAGTTTGCATAGCTCCTACTGTCACTATGAGAGCTTGACCTCAGAGGTGAGGCTGCCAGGTCAGTACCATCTTGATTTCTGAAAGTCCTGTTACCAAAGTGTGCAGTATCTTTAGCCGTAGGGTTTTCTGTCAAGTTGAGGCAGGCAACCAAGAGAATTAATTTTGTCTATTCTGTAGGTGATGTCTTAGCATAAAAAAAGACAAACAAACAAAACCCCAAATACTGCAGCTATAATTCTGCAGACTGTTATCAGACAACAGTTACACAGTTTTACAGAAACACAACCAACAGGAGCAAATATTTAAGGAAAACTAGCCTGCAGATTAACTGCTTGTTTACAGGAGTATTCCCTAAGTGACCAGTGTCTAATACCTCTTAATTGCTAGGAAGCAGTGCTTGGATTGCACAATGCCAGGGCCTGTCTAATTATCTTTGCTTCAAAAGAACAGTCAGGATACAATAAGGAACACGCAAAGAAAGGCCTGGGAAAAATAGGCACACTCACAATTCTTTTTTGGAGCATACTGACTTGGTAAAGTGTTCTCTCATGCTTTGTATCTTAGAAGGCTGAGACAACAAAAGGGGAACATACATACACTGAACAAGTAGAAGAGCCAGCCACAGTTAGTGTCACTGCACAGACAAACATCCAAACATTAGACCTCTTAAAAGTGCAAGAGACAGCACTAGTGAAGACAAATAGACCTGTTTTCTGATGTTCCAGTATACCCCATAGATACAATAATAGAAGATATTTAGCCAAGGCAAGTAGGCATGGACCAGAGTTTAAATAGCAGGCCTGCCCACATGGTAAGCTTGTCATCTGAACAGCACTGATTTAACAATGGTAGAAACACCAGGAGAATTTTCCTGACCACTCTGTGTGTTAAAAATTCAGATATAAAACATATCATATAAAAGAGAGTACTTACTGGTCATTTTGTGAATTGGATTTACATGCTTTTAGCTCTTGTAAGCTTTTGTGTAATATATATAGAAAAGGGGCTGCCAAGAGAAAATAAGAGGTGCTTGCTGCCAAGCCTGATGACCTGAGTTTGATTCCTGGAGCCCATGTGGTGAAAGGAGAGAAGTGACTTCTGTAAGTTGTCCTCTGATGTCCATACATGGGCTGTGGCATACTCACATGCACAAGACCACATGTGTGCCCAAACACACATAATAAATGTCATAAGTTCATACACAGCCCTCCATGCACTTTTAACCACAAGTTTTAAGGGGTTAAATGCACTAAAATCACTTCAAAATAGTTGTGTATAAAGCAGCAATTCAAAAGACTTTAAAGAACCTTGACTTTGTTGAGACTCGGTTTCCCAAGTAGTGAAAAGCCTGGCAAAATCAGCAGAAAACATAAACCACCCTAACAAAATATAAGATCTTGATGATTTTGCAGTGTACATAAATACCAAGTTAGATATTAAAATATCCAGTTTCGTGACATTATTTATAACAAAATAGATCATATGCTCACAACCAATTAATGCTGAACAGCAACTTTATTATTCCAACTGCAAAATTAGCCCATATTTCAACGCTGACAAAATATATGTCTGTTCTACATGGAACAAACCCCAGAAACCTTATAGAAATTATCTCTAAATATGGGTCAATAAAAAATTCTTCTTTCAAATTTACATATTTAACTTTGCCTGGCAAAAACTGGCTCAGAGAACTCTGAGCACTTAACAAAAGCACACTTTAACACTTAAATCTCCCTCAAATGCAAGACTTAGCTCTACTGTTGTAGGACTTAATAATAAGTCCCTTTCCCATTACACTCAGGGTAAGCTTACCGAGTCTTGAAAGCTAGTATTTGTAGGGACTGAACTCTCCTGGAAATTCCATTATGAAAAGATTTAACATAAAAATATACATATATATTTCCATATATATAATAGCCTTAATAAAAACTTACACTGGATTTCTAGAGAAATTACATTTATCAATCTCATTTTAAGAATATCTGGCCAAGGGGCTGGAGAGATGGCTCAGAGGTTAAGACCAGTGGCTGCTCTTCCAGAGGAACTGGGTTCAATTCCCAGCAACCATATGATGGCTCACAACCATCTGTAGTGAGATCTGGTGCCCTCTTCTGGCCTTCAGGGATACATGCAGACAGAGAGCACAGCATACGTACATAATAAATAAATAAATAAATCTTAAGAAAGAAAGAAAGAAAGAAAGAAAGAAAGAAAGAAAGAAAGAAAGAAAAAAAGAAAGAAAGAAAGAAAGCAATCCTGGCCAAGGCCCACCTTGTCTGCCATCTGGTGGTGAGGTCCAGGGAAAGACACCCTCTCCCTCTTACCCCTGCCACCTGTGGCAGGCAAGAGAGCTACCCCTCTCCCTTACTGGCTGCAGCACTCAGGAAAGCCAGCCCTGCACCTCACCTGAGCAGCACAGTAGAGCTGGCCCTGTTGAAAGGGATGCAGGTGAACCATTGGCCGATAATGTGAGCTTGGGAGATCTGGTCCCACCCTTCATCTACCAAATGGAGGTATGGACAAGGAAGAAACATCTTTCCTCCCAACTCCCCTGCCTGTGGCGATTGGGATACATGCAGGTCATAAGAGGGGGAGAACTGTCCCTGCCCCTCACCATCTGCAGCACTCGGGAGAGTGCCTCCTGCACCTGCACCTAACCTGAGCAACATGGTAGAGCTGCCCAGAGGGTGTGAAAGCGGGAGAACTAGCCCTGCCCCTTGATCCTTGCTGCAAACGGTGAACTAGCTGGAGTAATGCAGGAGAGCTCACCCTGGTGGCGGGGATCGGGGAGAGATGACCAGCTGACCAACCCTGCAACTATCCGGTCCCAGAACCAAGGTTATGAGTTGGCCAACCCCGACATCCACCCCATCTGTGATCTACTGGAGCACAGGAAGGGGCTGGTCCTGCAGAGCCAAAGCTGTAGGACCTCCACAACACAGGGCAGCAACAGGATATCCTAGAGGAGCCCCAGTGAGGGTCCAGTATCAAGGGAGTAACAGAAGCCAGAGGCCTCGAACCAGATCAATGACTCTTCACAATGAGCACTTGCAGGGAAAGCTATAGGGACTAAAGGATGAACTGTGTGACTCACTGTGTCACACTACAGCTTCCATGATGAGATCTTTCTCTTTTTAAATTTTCTATTAAATTTTACTTTGTCGGGGGAGGGTACAAGGTGAAAGACCCGCTCGAAATGCCCCTGAGCCCCCTGCCCCGAAGCTGCCGGAGCCTCCCAAGCCTTCACCCCGGCAGGGCTCGCGCCCCCAGCCCGCCCCGCCTGGCACCGCGCCTCGGGGCTGGGGCCGAGCAACGAGCACCAGGTGGGCAGGCCCGAGAACGAGCACCGGGTGGGCCGGCCCGAGAATGAGCACCAG